CTGCGCTTCTCGACCGTGGCTGGGGCCGTGGCCGTGAGGTACCCCGAGTGGGACGGGTCCCCTGGCCTGACCCGAAAGTCGGGCCTCATATCCACACTCATCAGCACCCACTTCACGTCCCCCCAGAAGAAGCCTTTGCCGGCCATGCAGGATGTGAACGTCAATTCGGCTGTCTACCCTGGGGGGCCTCCCGCGCCCGCGCAGGCCTCCAAGCTGCTGAGGTTCGTGGACGTGACGGAGATGACGCGGGGCCCGCAGGAGCCGCCGGGGTACTGGGTGGTGTCGGGGGCGAGGCTCGTGGTCGAGCGCGGGAAGATCTCGATCCGGGTCAAGTACTCGCTGCTCACGGTTGTACAACCGGAGGATGATGATGTGGTGGAATGACATTGCATGTTGGGTTTTTTTTCATTTTTGGGTGTCGGGATTTGGGGTGTGGTTGGGAATATGAAGGAAATACTTGTACAGAAGTTGGGAGATGGAATTGGGTGCTAGAAATTGGTAGTTGTGTTGGTTCTCCCATATCAATTGTTCAGATTTCGTTTTTCTTTCTGATTTTCTTTTACCACATTTTTGTTGCGCCTAGGAGGAGGCTAGCACTTTTATTATATGAATTATCGGATTTGGGTTTCAGTATGTGTTTGTAATGGTTACAACGGCTTTTTGGTCTTCATTGGGTATGAAATGCGGTCCGATGAGTAGATGGGATAAAGTTTGGTCCGATTAGCTCGGACAATATGTTGCTAGTATGTCAATAGCTCGGATATATGGTAGCTCGGCCAGAGGGGGTAAACCTACATAATAGATCGAGGGACTTTTTTTGGCAGTGGACATATGGAGACTTAGTATAAAACAAATAAATAAATAATAACTTATGAAAGCTGAAGACCTTTGAATGAAGCATAGGAAGACCTATTGATAGGGGACACGTGTAAGGTCATGTGTGAAGGATCTAGATGATCCTACGGATAAGAATGAGTGTCGGATAGACTTAAGGGTAACCACATAACTGTCAGGCAGTCTGGACACTTAGGCAGGCCTTCGGGCAGCTGAGTAGAGTAAAGTTTGTTCAACAAGCTAATAATTCACTATAAATAGGTGAGAGATATGAAAGGTAAAAAGTTAGTCATTCTATAGAATTTAAGCTTTACAATACAATTACATATAGCTTTACATAACCCTTCACTGACTAGATCGTCGGAGGTTATACGTCAGGAACACCTCCTGACGTATTTTGCAGGTCTTCGAGGAGCAAATTGGTGTAAAGATAAAGGAGAGTTGGTTTGAAGTGCGACAACATAGGCGTCGTCTGTGGGACACTAACTGGTTCTCTGCCATTTCGAAAGGAACATGACTATGACAGAGGAGAGCTGGAGAAAGAACCTCGATGAGAGTTTGGAGGAGGTGTGGGTGGCCAAAACACCTTTTGGACCTGGGCCGCCTTCGGGATGGTCTAACGGGAAAGGATCGCTCGTAACCCCTATGATCAGTTTGCCCGGACCGGGCAAAAGGAAAGGAGGTGGTCGTCCCGACGGGTGAGAGAGGAGCTTCAGCAGGGAGAGGTGAGAAAGTGATACAACTCACTT